ACACACACACACACACACACACACACACACACACACACACACACACAGAGTGCTGAAAGCCTGCAGGGTAAAAGTGAAGAAAGGGAGAGAGAGATTAGCACAGGCTGGGATCAAGGAAGGCTTGCTTGTGGAGGGGCCTTAGCTAGGCCTTGAAAGATAGGTAGAACTGGGCTGGACAGAAACGAGGAGGGAAGGCACTGGAGGCAGGGGGAACAGTATGAGCAAAGGTATGGAGGTGGGAATGAGCCAGGTGTATGCAGTAGGCACCAGGCCTAGCTGCAGCAGAAGGCATATACGACCACCACCACAAGCAGCTCTGAATAGGGCTTACAAAGCACTCTCAGGCACTGCCTTGGATTCTCTGGGTAGTGGTTCCTAGAATGTCCCTCTGCTTTTCTGCCCAGAATTCAGGACTTGACAAATCCTTGCAGATGGACAGCTTGTGGAAGAAGGGGGGGAAGGGAGGGGGCCCCGGCTGGCTGGAATGGAGCTGCCTCAACACCCAGGGATGAGGTGGGGAGCAGGCCAGCTCAGCAGGACCTGGCACATTTCCCTCACTCTTCCCGGGCAGGACAGGGAGGTGTACATCAATGACCCAAAGAACGGCACCACCGATGTCTTCTGGAACCCGACAGTGGATATCCGGAGGCAGAGACTGAAGCGCCATATTGTGCTGTTTGAGGAGCAAACAGCTCTAGAATCAGAGAGGTGAGTCTTGCCCAGAGGGGGAGGAAGTGGCCACAGCCCCATTTCCCAGGTGGAGACACTAAGACCAGAAGCAAGTTGGTGACTAGTCCAGGATCACCGAGGCCAGACCATGATGGAGGCAAGAAGCCGATGTCCCGGCTCAGACATAGGCAGAATCATGAAGTTCTTCCACCCCGCCACCGTTTTAGAAAAGTGGAAACTGAGACCCAGGGTGGGGGAGGGTGGCGGCCGAGCTTCCTGTCTGGCCGGGGTCCCTGCTAAGGGGCCGGGGCAGACATTCTGCCGGTCCTCAGAGGGCAGAAGCAGGATCAGCGGGCGACGGCTATGGGGCCAAACCCAAGGAGCCTCCAAGCTGTCCCCCACTCCACGGGCTGCCCCCTGAGGCTGAGAGCACCCGGTCAGTCAGTGAAAGCTCAGGCAAAGGCCCATCAGTGACAGCGCCCAGGACACAAGGATCCTTGCCTTGGCTGGAGGGCCCAAGGGGCCACCCCGTGTGGTTCTGGGAGATGAGGGAGAGGGGGCCTGGATGAGAAAGGAGCCCCACATCACCCAGCAAGCGCATGGTAGGGCAGGCGCCAGGGCTGGCCCTGGGCTCACCACTGGCCCTGCTCCCCACAGGCTCTGGCAGCATGTGACCAGCGCCATCAACAAAGGAGACCAGGTGAAGGCGACCCAGGAGAAGTCTGTACTGGAGGAGGAGCAGAGGAGACGGGCCCGGGAGAGGCAGGAGGCCTTTCTAGAATGGAAGCCGCTGCTTTTCCTCCGGGATCCCAGCTCCCAGGAGTGGCACTACAAATACGAGGAGTGAGTCTTCGGGCCTGGGGGAGGATCCCAGCACGGGAGGAGGGCCTTCTCTCAGACCCTGGCAGGCAGCTCTAGAGCAGGTGACTGCCCACAATCCCGTGTCCCTGAAGGGGGACAGGCTCCAACTCTGGGCGCAGAGCCCTGCTAGGTAACAAGAGTCAAAGTGGACCGGGAGTGCTCAAGGTAGGTCTGCTGTGCCTGAGCCCAGAGGAGGGCAGCTCCAAGCAGGGCCCGGGGGTCAGGGGCTTTCCACCAGTGCCGAGCAGATGCCGGGGGAGGGGGCTGCCCCGCTCAGGAGCTGACGTTCCACGTGACCCCCAACCCTCTCACGGATCCTGTTTTCCCTCCTCCAGCCTGAGGCCTTGGGACCCCTTAACAGACATCGCCCAGTTTGAGCAGGACGGCAGGCTGCAGACGATGGGCCGGCACACGCCATTGAGGCTGACCGCTCGGAACCAAGCGGCCCGGCACAAGGTGAGTCACTGCCTGCCCTGCCCTCCCTTGGCTGGCTCTGTCTAGAACATTCAGTAAGCACCTGCTGTGTGCTGAGTAGCCCTCTTGGCGAGTGCATGGTTATGATGGTAGGGACAGGGCGCAGGCCCGAGAGGTCCTCGGTAAGAGGAATTCTCAGGTGAGGACACTCAATCTTCCTCAGTAGGTCTGCACCTTCTCAGAGGCACCAAGAGGCTTCGGGGGGGCTCTCTAGCCATCACACCACACGACCGCTCAGAGAGAAGGAAACAATAACCGCTCACACTTCCCAGGCGGTCCAGGCCTCCAAGCCTGGCAGACCGACCTCCTTCAGGCCTCACGGAGAAGTCTTATGACTTCAGCAGTACAGAGGATAGCTCCATTTTACAGATGAGAAAACTGAGGGCCAGGTAAGAGGGTCACCTTGCCCAGGATTCCATAGCTAACCAGCATCCAAAGCAAGATTTGGACCCAAGTGTCTCCTGAGGTTTGTTTGAAGTTTGTTCTAACAAGTCATCCTCCCGTAGGCCTGACAGGATAATGTGCAGGGACAGGACGGAACATTGGCCCACAGAACCCAAAGGCCAATGGGTCATTCAAGCCTCTTCTGTCATGAGCTGAAATGCAGTGACAAACATTCTCTCCTCTCTGTCTGCTCTCTCTCTCAATCTCTCTCCCTCTCTCCCCTCTCTCTTCTCTCTCTCTCTGTCTCTCTCCCCTCTCTCTTCTCTCTCCCTCTCTCTCCCCTCTGTCTTCTCTCTCCCTCTCTCTCCCCTCTCTCTTCTCTCTCTCTCTCTCCCTCTCTCTCCCTCCCTCTTCTCTCTCCCTCTCTCCCCTCTCTTCTCTCTCTCTCCCTCCCTCTCTCTCCCCTCTCTCTTCTCGCTCCCTCTCTCTCTCCCCTCTCTCTCCTTTCTCTCTCTCCTCTCTCTCTCTATTCTCTCTCCCTCCCCACCTTCCTCTCTTTTTCCCCCCACATACACATAAACACACATTTCTTATACATTCAGTCCCACACTCACACTCATATATAGGCATACCAGCCAAATTTGACCAATCCCTCTCTCCCTGACACATTCCCGGCCCCACGCTCTTCTAAATGGTCAAGGCTAAGCCATGGAGAACACCAGAGAAGGAGCAGAGGAATCCAGTGTCCTCAGGTAGCTTACAAAATGTCATGGGAGGGAAGGGAATAAACATTTACATAACACCTACTGTGTGCCAGGCACTGTCTGAACTAAGCACTTTACAAATATTACCTCATTTGATCCTCACAACAACCCTGTGAAGTAGGTGCTGTTATTATCCCCCTTTTACAGTTGAGGAAACTGAGGCAGAGGTGAGGTAACTTGCTCAAGGTAACACAGCTAGTATCTAGTAAGTGTCTGAAGCTGAATTTGAACTCGGGCCTTCCTGACTCCAGGCCCAGAGTTCTATCCACTGTACCACCTGCTGCCTCACAGGTTCTGCCTTACATACGTGCTTCCAGCACACACAAGCCCACCTCCCCTCCTCTGCCTTCATTCTCACCTCCCTCCCACCTCCACTTTTCAGTCAGGTGACATGACTTAAGGAGACAGTGTCCAGGACCAAGCCCCAGGCTCACTGTATCATAGGATTCTGGGTCATAGTGGACCTCAGAGACCACCTTGTGCTTCCCTCTCCTTTTACAAATGGAGAAACTGAGGCCCAGAGAGAAAAAAGCACTTACAGGTAGATAAGGTCACAAACATGGAGCTGGCAGAGAGATCTTAGGGGCTGCCAGGCCCAAGCCCCTCACCTTTCAGATGAAGAAACTGAGGCCCAGAGAGGTTACAAGACTAGCGTGGGAGTTGGGGTTTGAACCCAGGTCCCGGACCTCGGAGCCATTCGTCTCTCCACCGCACCTTGTTGACTTCCCGCAAACCGCAAACAAAGCACAGACGGTGTGAGCGGGAGGCAATCCCACCGCGCAGGAGATGGGTGACTGTCTCTCCAAGCCAGCTCCCAAGGCAGAAGGAAGCCGGAGCTCAGCCAGGAACCACACCTGGCCACCGCAGGAGCCCCTCCGGACTGCGGGGCGCGGCTACCAGGGGGCGCTGGGCTCCACTGCTCAGCATCCGAGGCCGGGCTCAGGTGTTGGCTGAGGACAGATCAGAGCAAGAGGATCTGAGGCTTGTGGGTGAGCCAGAGCGCAGGGCTGGGAGTAATCCCTGACTGCAGAGGACGAGGGTGATGCTGAGCCCCGGCGACGGACGTGCGTCCGGGCTTTCTCTGCCCCAAACCCCCGAGGCGAGGCTGGGCACCTGGGCCGAGGTCGTACAGGTGCGAAGGGGCAGAGCCAGGGCCCCTCCCACCCCGGCACGCTCCCCACCGCACCGCCCCCTGCCACCCCAACACGCACCGCACCGCACCGCCACCAGAATCTTGACGAGACTGGAGGCGTTTGAAGGAAGGCTGGCCAGAGCTCGGCCCTTCTCCAGACCTCTCCTCCCTGCGCTCTGCTTGGAAACTGGCAACCGACGTGGGGCCAGAGGTCTCCCAGGCCACATTCTTGGGGACTGCGGAGTTACCAGGTGCCCTGTAATCCTGCTAGCACAATGATGACATGGTGGTATTTGTCTAGCGCTTTACATATGTCCTCTGGCGTGAGCCTCAGAACGCCCTTGTCCATTAGGGTTAGAGCTCCATCAAAGGCGTCTCCGGTCCGGGAGGACCACTCTTCTTTTTGATCTCTGTTCTAGAAGACAGTGCTACTCTTCATGTTGTCCACGGCAGGCCTGTTTACTCTCTCTGAGCCTCAGTTTCCTTATATATAAAATGGGAGAAATGATATTTGCATACTCTTCCTCAAGAGGCAGTCGTGAGGAACACAGCTCCCAGAACAATGCAGATGTCTGGAGTTTTCTTGTTTCCCGGAACCTGAGATTGCACACGTGGAGGCAGCTCTTGGGGAGCTTAACAACCCCTTAACTCTTCTAAAATTTCCTGTTACTTCATGGAGTCATTGAGCTGATTGGTTCATTCTGTTTTTGGGGAAGTCCACTGCTTGGGGGGTGGGTAAGGTTTTCCACACTCCTTCCTTCCCCCCTCCCCACTTCCGGAGTTTTTATTTCAATTCTAGTTTCATGTTACTATATCTTCCTTCATGTCTTCCATCCACACTTGAGTCCTTATGGCCAAACCACTTTTTTTTGTCTGAGTCTCTGCTTTTTGTGGAATTGGTCTCTCCTTCTGTGTCTACCTCTTGAGTTTATCTTAACATATAAAATTCCTTCACCATGTGTGGTGTTTTCATGGATTCATTCATGCAGATTTCTAGCCTCAGTTCTTGGATTGGAATTTTGTGACAGGGCTGGGCACTCTTAGATGGGTTGGGTAGGTCCTCATTGGTCACTGAGTAGGGGTGGGTGACATGGTCAGATTTAGGCTTTGGGAAAATCCCTTTGGTGGATGAATAAAGGATGGGCTAGAGTGGGGAGAGACCTGAGGCAGACAGACCCCCCCCCAGCAGCTATTGCAATAACCCAGGTGAGATGATGGGAGCCTGCACCAGGGAGCAATGGCATCAGAGAAGAGGAGGGGACATGTTAGATGCCACCAAAGTGAAATCAATAGGCCTGGACAATGGATTGGACATGGGGGGAGGGGGATAGTGAGGATTAAGGGAGAATTCCTAGGTTGGGAGCCTGAGGGACTGGGAAGAGAGTGATGCCCTCAACAGGAATGGGGAAGGTTGGAAGAAGTAACAGTTTTGGGGGGGAAAGTTGGGAATTTGATCTTGGACGTGTTGACTTTGAGATAGATGTGTACTGGATGTCCATTTCAAGATGGGAGACTGGAGGTCAACAGAGAGGCTGGGGCAGAAAAGGTAGATTTGAGAATCACCAGCATAATAAAACAAAAAACTAAAAATAACAACAAAGCTTCAGATCCTAGGCGACCGTGTGGGTGAAGCTCGATTGTACCCATCATCCCAGTCACCTGGGGGAAAGGAGAGTGAAGGGTTTTAAAAGGGGAGGAGGAGGGGCTTCCTCAGCAAGACTTCTGGGAAACAGGAAAAAGTTGGGACCTGGAATTCTGGCTTTTGACGCCAACCCTCGTTGGCTTCTTGCCCATCTGGTTCACACAGCATTGCTGGACTCTGACTCAAGAGCCGTCCAAGTTTTCAGAACATGGCGGATTGTTTTGCTGATGGTCCAGTCTTATGGAAGTGATGGGGAAAACGTTGAAGGTGCAGAGTCAGCTGCTAACGCTCCCCAGCATAGCCTGACCACCTTCCACCAGCTCCTCCTCCTCCTCCTCCTCCTGCAGTCCCGCCTGCCTTCCTGGAGGAGGTTCCTCTTCCCCTTTCTTGTCCTCCAGGGCACCAGAGCAGTTCAGTTTCTCCCTATCTGCAAAGGGAGGAAAAGCAAGGAGGCTCCTGTGGCAGCTTCTCCTTCATTCTCTGACCAAACCCAACAAAGCTCAAAGCTAAGTCTCTTTAAAGGCAAAAGGGGCCAGGGGAAGAGAAGAGAACGAGCTTTTTTGAAGCCCCTACTGTGTGCCAGGCCCTGTGCTAAGCATTTTAAAGGGAAACCAAACAGCCTCGGGAAAGATGCCCTCACACATCGTCTCCACGATTCCTTCTTCTACCCAGCCTTCCTGGAGCTCTCAGAGATCCAGGCTACACTTGTTTCCCAGGGCTGCTGCTGGGCCACTCTGGTCAGGAAAGCAGAGCCTCAGCCCCCACCTCTCAAAACAGCTTGCTTTGTAACCCTGGGGGCTGTTTACCTACCCATAAAGCAGGCATCGTGGTGTCTTTGGGGACCTGCCTTCAGAAGCCTGAGGCTCCACTGTACATGGAGACTTCACAGTCTGAAGCCCCTTAGAAACATCAGTGATTGTCACTCATGATGACTGTCATCCCACAGAGGTCAGGAAAGGACTGTCGGCACCGCAAAGCCAGTGACCAGCCCTCCAACCACAGCCAGAACACGGAGAGCAGCTGCTCCACCCCCGAGTCTGTGCAGGACCTGTCTGATGAAGAAGGTGATGCAGGTAGGAGGCCGCCCCACCCCCACCCTGCCCCCACACAGGGCCTGGCTTCCTCCAGATCCCAACCAATGCCACCCTTTCTGCAGGAAGTCTTTCCCAGTCCCCCTTAATGCCAATGCCTTCCCTCTGCTGGTCACTTCCCACTTGTCCTAACCTTGCTTGTTTGCACACCATTGTTCCTCATTAGATTGTGAGCTCCCTGAGGGCAGAGGCCGCTTTTGCCTTTCCTGTATCCTCAGGGCTTAACCTAGTGCCTGAAGCAATAAATTCGATGGACTGATTAATATGACCTCCCCAGAGAGGGAGGGAGCTGGAGGAGCCAAATTGACTCATATCCCTGTGCTCATCACTTCCTCCACAGTGCCTTGGTTTAACCATTTGTAAGATGGGAGAGCTGGTTCATTTGTAAAGCTTTCTTGACTCCATTGAGTGGAAAGGTATTAGCACCCACCTGCTCATCCTTCCCTTGCTTTACCCCCAAATAGTCATTGCCAAGCAGAAAAATCCCTCCCAAACTCAGATTCTCTTGGCACCCGAGACTGGTTTTCTCCTGAAGTGCAAAGTTCAAATACACTTAGTCATTTTGAGCTCTTGAGAACCTTATTATCACAGAATCTCAGAATTCTCAGAACAAATGAGTAGCATACATAAAAAGCTTTGCAGGCCTGACCATGCCATATGCATGCTAGTTACTGTTACTATTATTCATAATAATTCTAGAGCTAGGAGGGCCCTTGGGGACAACCTAGGCCAATGTACACCCAAAAAGGAATCCCCTCCCCAGCATCAGTTTGTTGACAAGCATTTATTAAGTACCTCCTGTATTAAGTGCTGGACAAAAACAGTCCCTGCCTTCAGGGAGCTTACCTTCCAAAGGGAGAGACAGCATGTAAACCCCTTAGCACATACAAGATACCTATGGAGGAGAAAGAAGATAACTTGGGAAGAGCACTAACCAGGGAAACCAGAAAAGGCCTAATGCCAAAGGTGGTGTTAGAGATGAGTCTTGAAGGAAACCAAGAATCACAGAGTTGAGGAGTTAGTCCCACCAGCAATTTGAAGTGATGGACGTGAAATAGGAGACTGGGGAATGGAGATGAAGTATCATGGGTGAAGAAAAGCATTTAGCCTCCACCTGAAGACTTCCAAAGAGAGAGAACCCACTGGTCGAGTCAGCAAGCGTTTATTACGCACCAACTATGTACTGGAACATGGACTATGTGCTGGACATACCCCCCCCCCACCAAAAAAAGGCAAAAATCATGCCTGCCCTCAAAGAACTCCCAGTCTATTGGAGGAGAGAATATGCCAACAAAAAGCTACAGGATCCATTGGAGATCACCTTAGAGGGAAGGTGCCAGCATTAAGGGGGCTCAGGAAAGGTTTCTTACAGAAGATGGGATTGGAGCTAAGACTTGAAGAAAGCCAGGAGGCAAAGGTGAAGAGGAAGAAAACTTCCTGCCAAGGGAGAGGGAGAGACAAAAGGTGGAGAGATCAGCACCATCGGACCCTGGAGAGCTCCCAAGGGGAAGCGGCTGAGGCACAGCCTTGGGGTTTGGAGCTGGCTGCTGCGCTCCCTGCATAGCAGCTCCGCTCCTTTAACAGGCCCCTCTTTTCTTGCTGATCAGAATATTCCTGGCATGTTATAAGAGGAATCTTGTTCAAAGAATCACCGAATCCGGTGGCTTTTGAATCAGAGCCTCACCGAATGTGGGCAATGTTAGAAAAATCTGAAACAAAAATCTACTACAGGAGTGAGTGAAGGAAAGCCTTTATTACACTTCTCTCTAGAAGCGGCACACCTCACCCTACCAGCACACGTGTGCTGGCACAGAGATAGAATCAACTTTTAAATGGTCAGTAAAATCCATACTCCTCCCATCTGGGCCAGATCATCTGAGTGACACTCTTCCAGAACCGCCCATGCCACGTTCCTCGATGTTCCTCCTTGTCATGTTAGTTCATGTGTCCCATGTTCAAAAGTCACCTCCACTCTCGGGGTGTGTCAGTCAATATTCAATAAGCTCATGAAGCAAGCTCAGGGGAGAAAAGGCTTCGCCCCGTCCTTGACCCCAATGGGTTGCAACCGGTTTAGCCTCCAGGGCTCTTTCTTCTTCTTCTTCTTCTTTTTTTTTTTTTTTTTTGCTTTTTTTTGGTGAGGCAATGGGGGTTAAGTGACTTGCCCAGGATCACACAGCTAGTAAGTGTCAAGTGCCTGACGCTGGATTTGAACTCTGGTCCTCCTGACTCCAAGGCCGGAGCTCTATCTACTTCACCTAGCTGCCCCTCCAGGGCTCTTTCTTGAGGAACTAGTTGTTTGCAGAATGTTTGGGGCACTTTCTGATTGGTTGAGGGACTATCCACAAGATCTTGGAAGTCCTTCTCAGAATTCCCTTGTTCTGCTGTGGAAGCCCAACTCCTAATCCTTTCCCAGGGGAGATAAGAGGATTCTCCCTTCTGGAGGAAGTCCGTGACAACTCACTGCTGGAGCGCTCTCATGCTTGTAGCCTCCCCCTTGGCTCCTGGCTCAACCCTGTTGGGCCAAACAGCAGAGCTAAAGTAGCTGTCCTTGTGCCCCTCAGCCTTCTCTTCTCCAGGCTAAGAATCTCGAATTCCTCCAGTCGTGGCCTCCAAGCCCTTCCCCATCCTGGCTGCCCTAATCTGGCCTGCTCACTGAGCATGCTAGGAGTCCGCAGCTCTCTGAATCTCCACCTCTGGGCTTCAAAAACTTCCCTTCTCACTCCCCTCGGTGCCTTCTGATCTTTCTCCCACAGCCAACCTAACTGAGATTCTGGTATCTGGGGGCTCTGCTTGGCCCCAGAGAACTCTGAGTGGAAGCTGCCGAGGTGGACGTGAAGGTAGTGAGGAAGCTGGCCCCCCTCCCTAGAGGTCTTCATGGCAAAGCTGGAGGCCACCTCCTGGGGTGCTCTAGAGGGGACTCTAGCTTAGAGACACTTTGGACTAGAGCCTCTGAGGTCCCTTCAGCTCTGAGATTCTGGGATCTTCACCTCCCCTTTCCTCCTCTTCTCTTTTTTTTTTTACCCCCCCCCATTCTTCTCTCCTTGCCTTGGTTGAAAGGGGAGGAGGAGCGCTGAGAATCAGCACTATTTAAAGGCATTAGACAGGACATAGAAATAACCCTACTTACTCTGTGGTCCCAGACTGTGAGAGTTCCTGTGCCCGGTGTGGGAAAGAGAGTCAGCATCTGAAGGAAATTCACACTGCAGTGCTGTCCCTACAGAAGGCCCAACGGGACATCCACAGGTGAGCGGCCACACTCGGCACTATGCTGGTAAACGCCTAACAAACAGGCTCTCAAACAAATACACAGAGAGAGGACCCACTTTGGTGAATGTTTACTTCACCACTTTATTACTTAAATCTAAATAACTAGACAAGCCTGGACTTGTTAAACTACAGGTGCAAACGCTCACCTGAGAACTTAACAATGAAGCCAGTTTGGAATGGCCAGTCCCCCAAGAACCTGCCCCAGGCAGTCGACTAGGCTAGCTGAGCTGGGATAGGCCCCCATGCAAGCCCAGTGACAGAGGAAAGGTGACTCACAAGTAAGGTGATGCCTGGTTCAGGGAGGCCCAGGCTAGCCAGGGAGGGAGGGAGAGGGCCCCAGGGCTCTGAAAGGAAGTGGAATGTCTGGCATAAAGGTGGAGGTTCAAATCTGGCCCTTTGTTCTTCCTAGCCGTGAGATTTCAGGTGTGAGGATGCCCTCTGGCAGGGCAGAGGGAACTCTGTTGTATCCTGTGATCTTTGAGAGTTCTAGAGACAGGGAAGTTAAGAGCCCTGCCCAGGGTTGCACAGGTGGCCTGCATCAGAGGAAGACTTTGAACCAAGGCCCTCTTGATTCCAAAGCCTACCCTCTCTCCACTGTGGGGGTGCTGTTCCTTAGCAAGTGGGCAGGGAAGTCTAGAGGAGCAGCTGAGGTCACTGGTGCAGCCCAGGTGAGCACAGGAAGGAGAGCGGGATTGTCCTTGGCATTTCTTGGCATCCCCAGAGTCTGGCATCTAGGAATGCTTAATAAATGGTCATTGACTGACTTTGCCTTGTCAAGTTGCCCATCAGGCAGGATCAGTCAGTCCTAAAGCACTCCTAGGTGCCAGGCTCTGCGTCAAGCTCTGGGGATGCCAAGAAAGGCCAAGGAGCAGCCGGTTTAGTGGAGAAGGCGCACAATGGAGAAGGCCATTCTTATGCTGTGCCAACTGAAGAGGGGAGGGCATCAGCAGGCAACGGACAGAGAAGAACTGAGCCCCACTCACATGCAGCCTGCCTGTCTCTTTGTTCCAGGAACCTGACGGCTCTAAACAAAAAGTCTTTGTACAGGCGGGCGCCAGGAAGCTTTCTCCATAGCTCACGCTGCTGGTTTCTACTCTGTGTGTTTCTGACATGTCAACTGTTCATTAACTATGTCTTGAAATAAAAGCACTCTAGGGGCAGCAGCCCGTGCGCCTGCCTGCCAAACGAACACTGCCCCCACCCCAGGAATCCTCCCTGCAGAGGTGGCACCACATTCCATCCCAGGGAGGCCAGGCCTGAGGCCCTGGGCACCACTCCTGGGCAGCCGGTGCCCTTCAAGGGGGTACGGCTTCGGGACCTTACTACCCGTGTGGGCCTTAATCGCTGAAGCCAAATGTAGCTTACTTGTGCACTTTGCTCGTCCGTCCCTCCCTCCATCCGTCTATCCATCGCATGTGGTAGTTAGTACTGAGTACCACCCAGTACTGCTGTCCCCCAGCCGGAGTATATGTAGCCTTTTCCCAAGCTCCACCCAGACCCTTGGGGCAGCAAGAAGGAAGGAAGGAAAGAGAGTCAGGAGAGGGCCTGGCCTGAGGGGGCACCAAGGCTGAGGGCAGCTTGCATTGTCCCTCCTTCCCTCCATCCTTCCTCCCCTGATGAGGGACAACCATTTCAGGAAATGCAGGGGGACCAAGGTCCAGCCAGGCACCGTAGATCTTGTAAGCACAGTAACCAGGGCCTCCCTCCTCGGGAAGCCAGGACTGAAAACCCCAGACCTGAGTGAGAGGAGGCTCCAAGCTGGCATCTGTGCTCAGTGCTGCCCGCCCACCTGGGCACCGGAATCCATGTGGAATCCCTGCTCTGTGGCGGGAGAGCAGCCTGGGCGTGAGTGATGGGTGGTTGCTGGGGGGGGGGGGGGGGCACAGAGCCACAGAAGGCCGGCCACTTCATGTCCCCTCCCTCCCCCTGCAAGGAAGTCTTGTTTTCTAACACCCGCCGCCACCCCCCCCCAACCCGTGCAACCTCACCCAGGCCAGGGAGCAGCGGGGGAGGGGGGTTAAGGGTGAGCACGTGTCCGTCTGTGTCGGTCTGTCCGTCCCTCCCCACGCACCCTTGCTCTGCCAGCAGTGGTGCCCGTGCCGGGCCAGCCTGCAATGCCACATGTCCAGCTGGCTGGCACTTCATCTTGTCTGTCCTGCACCTCCTGCCTTTGGGGAAACTTGTTTCTGCTTGATAACAGTGAAATAAAATGACCTACCACCTTCAGTGTCCTTTTCTGGGGGCAAGTGCTTGGGAGGCCCCAGTGGGGCGGCTTGGGGGGTTCTGGGCCCGACTATCACGCCGGACTCAACCGCTCAAGCTCAGGGGGGCTTCTTTCTACACTTTATTACGGGTGAGGAGGGAGAAGTACCTGGCCCCAAGCAGGCCCGGCTGCTCTGGGAGGCAGCCCCCCCCCCCCCCATTCCTGGGGTCCTCTTACTGTCTGGGATAAATGCAGACCGAGGAAGCTGCAGCCCCGGGCTGTCCCCCGGCCGTGTCCTCGGGGTTCCCTTTCCCTCCCCTTGCTCTTCTTTGGTTTCCCGGGCTCCCATAAGCGGGGTGGGCGAGATCCCAGGGCGGCGGCACCTCGGGGGCTTCTGTCCAATGCCCCTCCCCCGGCAGGGCGCCCAGCAGGCGCTCGGCGGGGGTCAGTGGTCACTTCTCTTCTTGGCGTTTTTAAATCCTCGAGTGGCCCCTTGGCCAAAGCAAATGGTGGAAGGGATCCTGCGGCCGTAGGTCCGCCTTTCGGAGCCGGTTGGCGGCGGCGGCGGGGCCTCCCCGGGGCACACCTCCATGGCCTCCACCGCCGCGGCCCCCGGAGCCCCCGCAGCCTTCCGAGGCTGGTCGAAGCGGAAGTCGGGCGGGTAGCGGTGCGCCCGGACCAGGTGCTCTTTGCGCTCGCGGCTGCCGCGGAACCTGTCGGGGCAGCCCTCCACCAGGCACCGGTGCATGCTCTGGCGCTCCGCCAGCAGCTGGAAGAGCGAGTCGTGCCACTCGAGGATGTGCACGTCCAGCAGGTGTGCGGAGGGGAAGGAGCGCCGGCACACGGAGCACACGTGCGTGTGCAGCGACCGGTAGTGGTGCTCGTACGCCTCGAGGCTGCCGAACTCCTGCTGGCAGCCGGCCACGTGGCACCCGAAGGCCGCCACGCGGGGGCGCTCCGGCACCTGCGAGACCTGCGTGATGACGTCCTGCAAGTACGCGTGCCTCTGCACGTCCCCGTCCTGCGGAGGAGAGGTCGGGTGAGCGAGCCCGGAGCCCCGCCCCGGGCAGGCCCCGCCCCCTGCCAGGCCCCCGGCAGGCCCCGCCCCCCCGCCGCCTCGCTTCCGCCCCAGGCCCCGCCCCGAACCCACGTGACCTCGAACAACGGGTGTCCCCGGGGCAGGCTCCGGGCCCGCGGCGCGAAGCGGAAGGGGGCGGCCCCGGCGGCCGGGTGGCGGAGCACGGGCAGCGGGGGCGACTCGGAGGGGCCCCCAGCCGGGCCCGAGCCCAGGCGGCCCGGCAGCCCCGGCGGCAGCTGCATCCTTTTCCGGAGCCCGAGGGAGGAGAGGCTCGTGAAACCTCTTCCGGCCCACAAACCACTTCCGGGCCATGGCCGACGGGAGGTGGGGGCGGGGGGAGGCGTGGAGGGCGCGAGCCGGGTGGGGAGAGGAGGCGGGAGAAGCCCAACCCTAACGTGATCCTGGACACCCCGCCCCCCAGCGTCCCCCACCTCGCTCGCCGACGAGCACGGAATCACTTCCGGTCCTTGGTGTCTGCGCCCGCAGGCCGGGCCCCAGCGGCTCTGGGCCTGGACTAGGAACCCCCCCGGAGACGGAGAGCTCACCCCCTCCCCACCCAGCCTCCCCCAGGGCGAGGAGCAGAAGCGAGGGGGGGGGTCCTGGAGGTCATGACCTCTGGGGCGTCGTGAGCGACCCCCCAGATGGGGAGGGGGGAAACAAGTTGGGCGGGGGCCTTGAGCGTCCCATCAGGAGTCAGACCTCGCTTTAGGAAGCGGGGGTGGGGGCGGGGCGCAGCCGGGAACAGGCAGGATGGGCTGGCGGGCCCTCGAGGGCCGCGGTTGGGGGGGGGGCTTCAGGCCTGGGCTCTGAGAAGGAAGCCTAGGCCGAACCCCAAGACCAGGAGACGCGCCCCGCCGCCAGTGACCCTGGTCTGGGCAGCGCGGCGGGCAGCCCGGCCGGCTAGGCGGGGGGGGGGGGGGGGGGGGGGGGGGGGGGGGGGGGGGGGGCGGTGTCACCAGCCCCGCCTCCTCCTGCTCCCCAGAGTCGGCCTCCCTGAGACGCGTACCCCGCATCTAGGAGGAGTCAGGCCAAGGGCAAGTACGTTCATCACTAATCGTAAGCTCCTACTGTGTGCTAGGGATACCGAAAGACGCCCTGCCCTGCGGGAGCTTGCCATCCCGCTCCAGGCTGAGGCCAAAGAAAGCACCAGGGCACGAGGGATCCCCTCGTGCCAGGGGCTGTTAGAGTGCCCCGTCCTCAGTGGTTCCCTGCTGGCTAACATCCTCTGGCCTCTCCCTGAGCTGTGTCCCCCTGTGGTCAGTCTGTTGGGTCAGGTCTGCCTTGCTCTGTACATACACCCTCTTCTCTCACCTCTTCACCAGCCTCACAGCTGGGTTGTTACGTCTCCCCGCCCCAAACCTCTCCCCACTCCAGTCCGTCCCCTACCTAGCTGCCCATGCACAGGTCTGACCTGCTCAGCACACAGCGCTGGCTTACTGTTGACTCCAGGATCAAACATAACATCTTTAAAAAGCCCTTCCCAACTGGCCCAACCGTTCTGGAGAGCAGTCTGGAACTATGGCTATGAAACTCTGTGTCCGCTTTGACCCAGCAATAGCATCCCCAGGTCTGTATTCCAAAGACATCAGAGAAAAAGGAAAAGGAGCCACGTGAACACAGATATTTATAGCAGCTCTTTTTGTGGTGGCAAAGAATGGGAAATCGAGGGGGTGTCCATCCATTGGGAAATGGCTGAACAGTTTTTGGTACACTAATGTTGTCCTGTAAGAAATGAGCAGATGGGTTTCAGAAAAACCAGGAAAGTTTGCAATGACTCATGCAGAGTGAAATGAACACACCCGGGACAACTTTATGCGTAGTAACAGCAACATTGTATGATGATCAACTGTAAATGACCTGGCAGTACGGTGATCCCAAGGCAGTTCCAGAGGCCTCAAGATGAAAAATGCCGTCCGCATCGAGAGACTGATGGAGCGTGAACGCAGATTGAAGCAATTTTTAGAAAATTTTTTGTGGTTTTGTGTGTATGTGTGTTTTCTTTCCCAACATGTCAAATACGGAAATGTTTTGCGTGATTGCACTTGTGCAGAGAGAGGGCAGGGAGAGAAAGAATTTGGAGCTTAAAAGTGAATGTTAAAAATTATTTTTACATGTAATTGGGGGAAATAAATTTTTTTTAAAATGCTCTAACTCGCTCCAGAAGGGACGACAATTTCAATACCTTTGTTCCCAGTCTAGTAGTGAATCCTGAAGGTTCTAGCATCCTGCCTCGACCCTCCCCAAGCCTTCCACCATAGAACCAGAAAACCTCCAGAGGGCTAATTCAGCCTTCAGGATCCACCCCACCCAGCCCGGCTCTTGGGACTCCAGCTGGCTATTTAAATGGCATGGTGTCAGTCTGAGAAGTTCTCCAGGAAATTACCCAGTTTATGCAAGCCTGATTTCCTCATCTGAAAAATGGGCTAGAGAAGGAAATGGCAAACCCCGCCCCCCACTATCTTTGCCAAGAAAATTCTCAAGGAGGTAACAAATAGCACACAAGCTCACTTGGTTTGGTCAGTGGATGGGAGGGGGGAGAGGTAGCTGGGGGATTCCCTGCTGAACATGGGTTTAGCAAGCATGAGTTTTCTGTGTTTCAGCACTTCTGTTCCTTTGGGCCAGACCCTCTGATCAACACTTGGGCTGACCAAGGCCAGAATGGCAGCGTTCCCATCTTAAAGGAGCCTGCTTACTTAGCAGTGGGGCCAAGTCTAATCGGGAATTTCCCAGGCATTTTGAATTATAGTACCTTTCCAAAACAAAGGGGATTGGTGAGCTGGGATAAATGGGAAGGCCTGGAGGGAGGGAGCCTCCTGGAATTTGCTTCCAATGCAGCGGTACTGCCAGGCCTTGCCCTGGCCTTTCCTGCTTATAATAGATTTACTATTGCACAACCATGCGAAAAATCCCAGCATCATTTCTTCCAAGGCTCCCATACAAGATTCCCTCTCTGCCTAGCTAGGGGCTATGTGTCTGCCTACAAGGTAGTCAGTCTCCATCAATCAGCACTGCTCATAAGGGAACATGGGGGAAGTCAGTAACATCCGGCTCATTCATGGCCAAAAAGGCCTCGGGGAGCTTCCTTACAGTTCTAGCTATGTGTGTTCCCAATCCGCTTACCACACGATTTGATCGGTAGTTCAGTAAATCATTGGTAGTTCATTAGTTAATAAGCTATTGATAAAGGGGTTTATAATCTTTTTTCATTGATGGTCTATCACAGCACACATGTGGGTCTACAAGTTTTTCAGTTTATGAACTCGCATGTGATTTATTACATCATATCATAGTGTTTATATTATTGAAAAACAATTCACTCAACACAGAGTTCCATCACAAAATGGAGGCTTAAAACAAAATGGAGTCAGTCATCTATGTTGACAAACTTATTCCTACCATCTTATTAAGGAATTATAACTTACCCTAATTCTACCTGCCCCATGTCATCCCAAACATGGATTCAGGGCAGGCTCAAGCTGCTTTGGAAGAATCCCAGAATCAGACCTGGGAGGGAACCTGGCAGCCATTGAGGTCAATGCACACCTGATGGCAATACCCCCTTGACCCTCCCTGGTCTTTCTCCTGCTTGGGATCTCCCCCCTGTCTCATGTGAGGTGGCCCACTCCACCTAAGGACAAAACTGAATCCCCCTCCCCACCTGTGCCACCACTCCTGGATTTTCCTGTGGGATAAACCAGCCAGTATAAACCCTCTTTACCCAAAGAGTTTCCAGTACATAAAGTCAGCCATAATGTTCTCCCTGAATTGGCCAGGCCAAACTGCCAAGCTCCTTCAGCTGGTCCTCAAATGTCAACTCAAACAACAATAATAATTCACATTTATGTAGCACTTAAGAAGTTTAATGTCAATAGCCCATCTTTATACAGGACTTTAAAATGTTCAAAGTGCATTGGTCAGTACAGCTCTTTGAGGCAGAAAGAACAAATATCATTCACTCTTGAAAGATTTGGAAACTGAGGCTAGAAGAGGTTAAGTGATTTGCCCAAAGTAACAAAATAATTTTGTATTGGAGGCAGTATTGAAACCCAGCTTATTAAGTTCATTCTATCAGGTACATGTTGCATAGAGAAAAATTAAATAGCCCCTGGTCTCAAAGAGATTATATTCTATCCAGATGCATATGTACAAGTAACCCGATGACATGTCTAGAGAGCTAGAGTTGAAATCAGGAAGATCTGAGTTCAAATACTGCCTCGGGGTAGCTAGGTTGTCCCAGTGGTTAGAGCACTGGCCCTGGAGTCAGGAGGACCTGAGTTCAAATTCGACCCCCAACACATAACACTCACTAGCTGTGTGACTCTGGGCAAGTCACTTAACCCCAATTGCCTCTCTCTCACACACACACACAAAAACAAATACTGCTTCAGACACTTTAGGTGTATGACCCTAGCTAGTCAAGCACGTTTCCAGCCTTGGTTTTCTTAGGTGTAAAATGGGGATAATAATATTATCTATCTCAAAGAATTGCTTTGATAATCAAATGAACTAATACATATAAAAGGGCTTTGCAAAAGTACTATATATACTTTAGTCATTATTATTATTGTTGTTGTTGTAGTGGATAGCATTTACACATATAAGTGGATATAAGGCCAGTGCTCTTTCTTCTATTCCATATTGTCTCCAGTTTAATTAGGTCAATTTATTCAAATTCAGTTTCAAAACAGTGCTAACTACACATGCATTTCAACTCACCTCCCCAAGAGAAAGCCTAATTTACACATTGCTTTTTTAAACTTTGATTTCAAGGAACTAGTATAAATGGTGAAATTATTGCTATTTTGACTTATTTTGTGTTGTAGATATTGAAGGATAATTTTAAAGAAAAGGCAGCTAGTTATCTTGGAATTCTCAAAGGGGTCCATTGATTTAATTCTCAATAAAAATACCATGTAATATTTGGGTAGACCTGGGAGTGGTATTGTATATGTGCCTATGAGTATTTTTTTTCTGAAAATTGAACATTAAGAAAAGAAATACTTTTTCCTCTCCAAAAAAAAAAAAAAAATCAACTCAAGGCTCTCCACCATAAAGCAGGAGATTTTGACTCAAGGATCTGAATTGCAATTCTGATGCTGCTGCTGGCTTTTTGACTCTGACTAATTTATTCTACCACTTTCACTATCTTTCCCTGTGAAGTAAGATGAAGGTCCTTTCCAGCCCTAAATCTGCAATCCTGTGAGCTTTTCTCTGAACACCATTGGCTTAGCAATGTCTTCTC